ATTCCCAGTTCATACTCACCGCTTGCCCTCTCGCCACAGGTAGCCGTCGTTTGGTACGTTTATGTCAATGAACGGGTAAGTCGCGCACAAGGCTGACTCACGTCGTAAACGATAGTCGAGCTTTTTCATCTGGGTCTGACGATAGCAGCACTATACGAGCTTGCGGTGGTTGACATTGGTCATCCAGAGAGGTTCGTGAGCATGCCCATCACGCTCTCTCTCTCGGTGTTTCCCACACCTATCGTCTTTTTGATTGTCACGGCGAGTCGTGCTTTTATTGGATCCTATCCCTACGGGTCATCTGATACTCCGCCACGCTGCTAGTTGTTCATGGTATACCGCATCTACATCCTCTCTTCCGAGTCGAAGCTCCTGGTCTTTCTCACCGGACCGCTTTCAGTCTTTCGAAGTATCACCGCCTGTCTCCTCGGTGCTCTGTCCGTGCAGACGCCGGCGATTCTAGAGTTCAGCAGGAAGTATAAGTGGCTGTTGATGCTCAGCTTGACGTTGGAAGTCGTTACGGATGCTGTGTTGAGTGGGATATCGGTGGTTCTTTTGGCGAGGAAGCAGAGAAAGGCGGAGTTTATTGAGTACGTGTTTATCTCTTTGCGTTCGTCGTGATTGTAATCAAACCAGCCTCTACAGGACGACGAAGGTGATGGACAAGCTCATCGTGTACACAATTGGTGCTTTACGATATTTCTTGTTCGCTTGTACCCATGTATTGAGGAGTCATGGATTTCGACAGAAAGCGGAGCCGCCACCGCGTACGTCCCACCACGTCGAATACAAGTCTTTTCACGTCGACTTACCGATGATTTATTACACAGATTGTGCAGCTTGATTAACATTATATGCGTTCGTTCTTTCATACCTCAGCTCTCTTTCTTGAACCGGTCTGATTGACTCGACATCAGCTACTAACGATGTCACAACTGTATGCAACAGCTAGTTCAACTCTTCTAGTTTTCCTTTCTGTACTTACGCTTGTTTGGCGAGAGGGGTTGGATCGGTGTTCTCGTCGTCGTCCCGAAAGGTGCGTAGCAAGCCGGCCAAGAGAATACTAACGGCATCCCTGGACTGAAGTCCTTTTCGCCACAGTTTACGCAAACTCTCTCCTGGCCTCGCTGAACGGACGTCACTCTCTGCGCCTCAATGCCACTGCCTACAGCAACGCTATCGAGACCACGCATGCCCGGGTTTCAGCGATGTTTCCCGCAAGTGCCAATAACATCGCACGTTTGACAATTATTCTCAACGATCGACCCTAAAAGGTGTTCAAGCATAACGAGGCTAATATGCAGATTACGAAGACCGTGACCTCCGAAGTCTTCATGGACGTCATCGGCGCCGGTGACTCAGCTATCGTCGATTCGAAAGGATCCGGGTCGTTCAGTCATGGGTCGGATGTGAAAGTATGTTTGCGACTTTTTGAGAGCGCTGCGTGCTGACCACCGGCTGAAAACAGAGATGTGACGCAGAGGAGCTGGCAGAAATCGAGTTGAGAAGACTCGCCTGAGCTTTCTGAGATCATGCGCGCAGCACTGTTAGTGTAGAGAATGCAAGACTCTGACAGTCCGTTTACCAGAACTTTCAGTCGACGTGCACGGTAGCGTATGTTTGTCAGTTGGTACTCAGCTTCAAGTTCTCACACTCTGAATCCGAAGAAAGAACACAATCATTATGCTCTTAGTTGAGATCGCAGCGTCGTGTGTACGTAGGTGGTGACACAAATTGGCCGCATCGTGCTGGCTACATTCAATTGCAAGCTACATCCAAATGGTCACTCTGCTTGACTAATATGAAACGAAAATGGCCACCCTCTCATCGAAGCACGTCCTCGTTGTAAGTCACATCATGCCCTAGTATGAAACGCTGCCAGTGTTTCCCCACGCTCTGCGAGATAACCTACCTGCGTTACGCATGGTTCGAGCTTATTCATTGCTTGTGATCCTCAGCCTCGCTTTTGCTTCCTACCCCATCATCTGGACCGTTCTTCACTCGCCTATCCTCTGCCTGCGATTTCCATCTGCAAGTCATTCCGACTCTGCATTTACTCCAGATCGTGAGTCTACATAGATTGCGGCTAACTCACAGATCATTTGACGAATATCTGTTACTAGGTTTCACGATATCGACGGAGTTCAATTCAATCGATAACCACGATCGCTTCTCGAACTTGTATGACAGCTCGTTTGGTATCGATACTCTACAAACAATGTCTAAAATCATGAGATAGGGCGTTAACAACCTTGGATACGATTCCAAACGATCAAATCTGGTGCGTATATTTCACTTTTGCGACGACTGCCAGATGAGAGCTGCCGTGCTCTTCCGAGAATGCTGCTTTCTTCTGCGAGGATTCGCCTGTCCAAATGCTAAGCATATGCTTGTACTTGTATCTCGTTTAAGACCCAAGTCCTAGCGTATGCTTAGCAAAAGCTAGACACCTAGCCAGCGTGTTCTCACGATCCTCGTGGGCTCGCAATGGTCAGTGGCTGGACAGACAAGTCTTCACAGAAGAAAGCAGATATCGGATACAGCCAGGCATCTGACTTCTGCGAGTTGTTCGCAGCTGGGTAGCTTTTCGCAGTGTCTTTGAAGCTGGATACGTCCAGCTTCCGGACACTGAGCGGAGCTACTCGGCTGAGGTCATCTCCCATGCGTCAGATCGGTTCGTTTCCTTTTTTATTCGCGCTTTTTTCTCCTCATTTTTCACCTGAGACTATTTCGTTTTGCTGATGGCCGTGTTTGTTCTAGGTCTACTTTTTCCCCCCTACTCGGGTCCTCGATGACTGCACCGGGCAGGAATGATGTCAACTGCGAGATATGTGGCGTCCTGCTCAAGGGAGCAGACACCTATAATGTGTGGAGGCATGTCCTTTTTACACATTTCCCAGAGATGGTGGAGCGATGCGAGTGTCCGTGGTGCTTCATGAGCATCAGTCGTAAAGATGCCCTCAAGCGTCATATAGAAGAGCAGCACTTTGGGAAGAAGCGCGGAGAGTCGTGGGACTTGAGAGGTCCCGTCGATGTGGCTGACTGAATCATTCAAGTTCGGTGCGCTTGCACCCTTTCTCGTGCTATTGTCCTCTTTTTCGTGGCCCGGTCTCGCTCCAAGTCGCCTGTGGCTTGAAGGGAGACGGGCACTTTAGTCATAGCCTTTACACGTGTGTATTTATACCTTCTCCTGCTTGTAATTATCACGTCCATGCCACTCTTCTCCTTTTATATATCGTTCCCTTCAACACTCGAGCATCGAAAGAGTGAACCCAGCTGGTTGAGAAGCGCTGCGGTGGCGGCAAACGCCGCGGCACACTGTAAGTTGATGGCGAGTACCTCCTTGGTAACGTCTTTACCTGCTTTTTGCCTCGAGGTTAATAGCTCAGTGGTAGCTCAGCTGCTTCGCAGCGCAGATAAGCCATATCTTCTTTATCTTCGTCCTGGTCGAATATCACTGGCAGACAGATACGCAGATAAACGTGCTTCACTTCGTCACCTTAAGACTTCAAGCTTTCTCCTCAGCGCTCAGACTGACCTCATGTCGCGATGTCACTGATTTTCGTGCCGGGTTGGAATTGAGCAGCATCTGTCAGCGGTTCCAAACCTCCCATTGACTCTCACCATCATTACTCCGCATTCTTGACGCAGGCCCGCCAAGAAGTTTTACTCAAGGCAGAGGCTGACTGAGACGGAATCCCACCGGCTAATTTGCCACCTGGATTGACTACGACGCGCTGACATCCATGGGCGGTGGATTACAGAAAACAACCTTCTCGTGCGCAGCCCTGCACACGTTCCATGCGCGTAAGTATACTCGATTGCATGGAAACCGAGCGGGCTGGTTCTTCCATGGCTACCGTGCAGACACCCTATAAAGCCTGACGTGAACTATGAGATAGAGCATCGCCATCGTTCCCTGGTCTCTTCTTCAACACCTCACAACCAGTCATGTCTTCGAGTTCCACACAGATCGTGTTGTACGAGCTTCCCTCGAGCCTTCCTCTCAAAAAACCGCTCTCGCCATTCTCGGCAACCATCAGGTACGTTCCGTTTCCACCACATGGACTTAACTCCTACTAACCACCCGCACAGAGCCGCCCTGAACTACAAACAACTCTCATACCGGACTGAGCTCGTCCCCCTCCGCGACTTCCAAACCGTCGCCGCCTCCATCGGCGCAAAGCCCACCTCCACCCTCCCCGACGGCACTCCCCGCTACACAACCCCCACCATCATCGACTCCACCAGCGGCACGCCCGTCGTCCTCTCCGAAACCCTCGATATCCTCGCGTACCTCGACACCACGTACCCCGACTCCGATCGCCCGCTCCTCGTCAGTGCTGGCTCCGCCGCTATCGACCGTCTGGCGCAGGGTGCGATTCTGGAGATGCTGTTCCCTGTGTTGTCAGGGATGGATGTGCGTGCGCAGTATGAGGCGGTTCCGGAGGGTGATCGGGCGATATGGAGGCAGAAATATCTCGGTGATAGTGGGAAGAGCGTTGATGATGTGACACTATCGAAGGATTCGGAGGCGTACAAGGCGCTGCTGAAGAAGGGGGAGGAGGTCTGGGCGAAGTTGGCTGGTCTCTTGGGAGGAGAGGAGTGGTTCGGAGGGAAGAAGCCGGTTGCGCTGGATCTGTTCGTTCTTGCGGTGCTGGGATTGACGAGAGACGTGTGGAGAGTAGAGTGGGAGGGGGCTTTCAGTAAGGTGGCAGACGGGAGACTGGGAAGGTACCTGGAGAAGGGCGAGGCGTATCTCAACTTTACGCCAGCTAGTGCATAAAAGTTTCTCGGTGCCTTTGATTACACGCTTCTCATGTAAGAGTAGTGGGCAAATATACCTATCTTTAGCCTGCGTCCAACACGACGTGGGACGTCCAGCGTTAAAACATTCGTCGTCAAGACTCAACGACCAGCCTTGACGCAGAAGTTCATAACTTCGTCAGCAGCGTAGGTGCGTAACGCGGAGAATGTCGGAACAGTGAGAAAAAGTAGGATACACCAGGAGGGAGTCGAACCCCCGCCGCTTGCTAAGCGCACATCTCAGAAATCTGTTAGAAATGGAAGGCAAGCATGATAACCGTTTCACCACTGGTGTTATGCTATTCTGGCACAGCTTGCTTATATATTATACTAAACGTTACTTGCACAAGATTGATAGCGTTTACGAACTCCTCCGACCCACGCCCTCGTGAACGTATCGCAAGCACACTCCCACAAGCAGCTCGCAGTTTTCCCATTCTCGCTGGGTATAATAAAGCAACGTAATACCGTCTGCCGAGTCTAACCAAACCCGAAGTCCCGTTTCTTTTCATCTCCTTCCATCACATCCACCCACCACCCCCGTACCCCTTCTAACCCCATCCCAACCAACTCTAAGAAACCGAGCCCTAATCACCACCACCCCCATCCCTCTCCTTCCCTTTCTCCAGAGCCCTCACCAACCTCCTCATCATCTCCCCCTGCTCAACCACCACCTCCTTCAACTCCGCGATCTGTCTCCGAAGTTCAGATTGGTTTTTGGCGAGCTTGAGGTTCGTGAGGTCTTGATTACTTGCTCCATTGTGGCTTGCTCCGTTGCGATTGTGGGCGGATGAGGTATGGGAATGGTGGCGGGGGGCGAGATGATCCATTGATATGGGTGGCTGGGACTCTAGGTGAGATGGGTGGGATGGGGAAGAGGCGGAGCGGGCGAGGAAGGGGACGGGGGAGGCGGAGCGGGATTCGTCGATTTGCTAGCATATATCCACATCAGCCCTCTCATCCCCGTCCCAAAGAAGCGCACTGACCTGATCCCTCGTCATCTTTTCCCAAACGATACTGAACTCTCGTCCCAGGACAAAACTCGGCAGCGCGATCAACAGGAGTCCGAATACGAGGAGAGGAACGGTGATGAGACGACCGAGGAAGGAGCGCGGGGTGATTTCGCCGTAGCCGACTGTTGTTATCGCTGTGGGAGGGTGGGTGGGAAGGGATGAGGAGGAGGAGAAGGAGGGATTAGTGGGAAGATGAGGAGGAGGAGGAGGGTTAACGTACTGACGAGGACAAACCTGATGAATGCGTCAGGTTAGTGAAATTTAAACGCAAGAGAGAGAGCACGAACCAAGCAGCTGCAGGAATCGACTAAATATCACCATCGTCAGTACCCAGAGACACCAACGAACAGGAAGTGGAACGACTAACCGGGAACTGTGTCGGATCACCATCACTGTTGATGAATATCTCTAGCACCTCGTCCCATGTTCCGCGTTCGGCGAAGTACCTGAACGGGAATCCGCCTCAGTTATCGTTCAACGATGAGGAGGGACATACGTACAAGAGGGTGCTGAAGATGGTGAGAACCATGACCACGAAGAAAGAGATGGCCAGCAGCGCGTGCTGCGACCTGCGCACGGACAGGTACATGACTTCTATCGTTCTGACCGCATTCCTAATCAGTCTCAGCACGCGACGAGCAAAGGAAAGGGAACGTACAAAAGGATGGTATTGTTGTACCGGAACGGCCGGAAGACGCGTAGGAGGCGGAACATTCTCAGGATTGAGAAGCGGAATAATACAGACTGCAAGGAGATAGATAGATGAGCACAGGAAGGCGATGAACAGGATAGAGACAAGCGCACCGTGTCCGATTGTAACATTATCTCAATATAATAAGGTAGAATAGCCAGCAAGTCTATAACTCCAAAGAACGCTGCCCGACCCCTCCATTAGGCCAACTTACTCCGGAAGCAAACCAACAGAGAACAACTCACAAGTCGTCCACCCAAACCAACTCCCCCAACTCGTCCCCCACGCCAAGCTCCTCGCAATATACTCCACCGTAAACAGCCACACCAACATCGTCTCAAGCCCAAACCACACCTCCTTCGAAATCGCATGAAACTCCTGGATCGTCTCCAGCACCGTCACCAGCGCACTGAACACGATCAACGCCGTCGTCAGCACATGCACTATGAACGATCCCGGACTCGACCGCGGGAGTTCCATGAGTGCAAAGAGCTGTTTTCGCCATCCTGGGTGGACGGAGAGGAGGAGCTGGTCGTCGGTGAGTTGGTTGTGGTGGAAGATATCGTTGATGTCGTGGGGGTGGTCGTCGTGGGGGTGGTCGCGTCTGTCTTCGGTGAGGAAGCCGGATGTGTCGGGCGGGTTAAGTGGGTTTAGGGGGATGGAGGAGGAGGCATTCATTTACGTTTACGCGTGCACGGTGGGCGAGATGTGGAAAGAAAGATGGGACGGACGGGGAGGAGGAGAGATTTGGGAGGAGGTAAACGCTGCCCGCCTTGCTGAGAATCCCACACGTGCCGTGATCCGGGCGCTTCGGGCTTTCGGCGACTGGTGCGGTCCCGACACAACAGCTTACACTCATCAAGACGGTCAGCAACTGAGCAAGTTATGTGTTATGTAGAGGAAATTCGCCTCATTCGACCACGCTTGAGCGACTAAATACTCGTACAAAGTTACAGAACACGGTGTTGAATCTCAATCGCATTCGCTCCTCCACACGTCTTCTTGCTATCCCCCGTGCACGCCATGCTACACGCCCCAGCCGGCGCCTCGCTCCTTGGATCGCGAATCTTGTTCTCACACCCTACGACGAGTTAGCCACTAGCAATAACCATAAGTTCAAAGCAAGGGGGGAGGAACTTACAGCACTCCCTAGCGAACTCAACACCCGCATACTTAAATTTGTTGCTCTGGCAGAACGCGCGACAGACTTCGATCGTCATCCCGTCCTCGTTGATCATCGAGGGCTGGGCTCTGAAAGATAGTTGACGGGCGTCGTTGGGGTCGCTGAAGGTGATAGACAAACACAAAGTCAGCTCTGGGTCAGGGGAAAGAGAAAGAGGAAGACGGAGACTTACTTCAAACAACCATCAGAACGCCATACCTCGAGAGGAGGGATCGAGGAGGATGCAGCGCTAGCAGGGCTGGCGAGCACAATCTGCACGAGGATGAATCAGACTCGAATGCGACGACAGCGTTGAACGATCACGCACCTGCGTCAATACAAAGTGAAGCAGAACAGCGAGACGAAGAGCTTTGGAGAACATTGTTGCTTGTGGTGCGGTCGGTTGGCAGTTTGAAAGCCATGCTACCTTCTGCTCACCTTTATACCCTCGACCCCGATACCCCGTGGGGAAACGACGCAGAGGCGGAGCCAGAAGTAAAGCAAAAGGTAATCTGACTGATATCGAAGCCACATGCAAAATCCTCCCATGCCCGCTGTCTAGAAGCACTGGCATGATCCGTGGCTTCGTCTTTGCTCGTTCTGGATGAGAGACTGACGTTCATGCGATATGGTGTATCAGGTGGTTCTTGGTCTCCGATGAGAAGCACATAAAGCTCGTTGCCCGAAAGCGATAAGGAAATTCGGAAGCCAGATGGGCTTGTCGACCCTTACGTATTCACTGAGGACTCTCAGCGATATATCCACAAGATGCTATCGAAAGTGTGCTGCGGAGGCAGCAAAACAGATCCCCGTCTTGGGTCTTGAGCCTAAATGTACTCAGTAGCTCGATGCCTTGGGCGGCGACGAATGGAAGAGACTCGGTCGCAGAACCCAGTAAATTGCAACAAGTTGAGCACATCGGTGTCAAAGCAGTATGGTCGACGAAGCCACACATCTACCGCACTTTATACATCTGCACCACCACCTTCTCCCCCCTCGCCGCCTCCGCACTATCCTTGACCGAATAATGAATCTCCACATCCAACTCCCTCGAGTTATCCGGGCTCTTCGTGCAGAAGAACTTGCCCTCGATCACGCTCCCTGCAACCCAGTATAGTCAGCACCCTTCCACACACAATGCAAGAACCCCGGGAGAAATGCGGGGAAGGATAGGGAAGGAACGTACCCTCAACAACAACAATCGGATCCTTCAACAAAAACACTGTCTGCTTCCAATGCGTCGCCATACTCTGCGGCCCCGTACTAAAGCTCGCCACCACATCGTCCTTTTCTTCCTCCACCGCCTCCTCATCCCCATCCCCACCCTCCTCCCGGCCAAGTATTCCAGCCCTCTCCCGACTCTTCGCCTTCCCCACACTCTCGCTCCTCCTCCTCTTCAACCCCCCACTCCCACCAACCGCCCATATCTCAGCCACCTGCATCCACTCGCTCCCAACGACCGTCACCTCCGTCCCTTCCGGTGCGGGTTTACCGGAGAGAGTGAAGAACGTATCGAAGTACAGGACGAAAGCCGATACTTTTCTGCGTTTCTCCGCTGTTGAGACAAGTGTAAAGGAGGACGTGAAGTCGAGTTGCGCGGTGGTGATTGTGCCGAGGTCTAGGTCCTTCACGATCGTCGGCTCAGAGAGGAGGGAAGAGGGAGGGATGATGTCGATAATAGCCTCTCCGAAATGATCCCCGCTCATAATGGAGAGATCAAACCCGTATACATCGTCCCAGAAATCTACCCTCTCTTTCAGTATGTCAGATACGTCAGCGAGTGCGAGCTGCATGGTGCATTGGGCGGGGGCCATGACGCCGGTAGAGGGGTTGAGGAAGCGGTCTCGGGCATGAAGGACGGAGTCGAGCATAGATTCGTACAGGAGGGCGTAGCCCATCCATTCGGAGATTATGATGTCGACGTGCTTCACGTCGTCGGGGAGGACGATGTCTTCGACTTTGCCGCGGATGACGCTGGGTGCGCAGCGTGAGTAAGGTAGGTAAGAGGGAGAAGGAGGGGGGAGAGGACGTACGTAATGATATGGTCCAGCCCATTTGTCTTGACGATCTGCTCTGCTTTCTCGGCAATATCACTCGCGTCGATAGCGTACACCTTCTTCGCGCCTCCCTTGGCCGCGAAGAGCGAGAGGATTCCCGTACCACATCCTACGTCCAACACGACGGCGTCCTGGAATAAGGTGGGATTGCGCAGGATGAACGACGCGTACGTCGACGTTCGGACGCGATCTTGGATCATCACCGCGTGGATATCTACCTCCCCAGATAAGTTATTCAGTCTCAGACTGTGGGTGAGTGAGTGAAGCTAGGACGTACCGTGTTCCCCATAACTCTGGAAATAATGCGAATCGTCGTCCCGGCCCTTCTTCCCCATCGTGTTGACGCTGCCACTGCCCTCAGTGTTGGTATCC